GTTCCAACCCGTTCCATTGCTGAGAAATAAGGACTTGACCTCTACCACCCAGCGATAGGAGCCACTGTAGACGTTATTTTTTTAAATCATGATTTAAAAAAATAACGTCTACAGTGGCTCCTATCGCTGGGTGGTAGAAATCAAGTCCTTATTTCTCAGCAATGGAAAGGTATTGAACGTTGACAATTTTACCATATATCTAACTTTAGTAGTACTATCTATTGCTTTAATCAAAATCAAAATCGGAGAAAATCATTGAGCAACGTAGGTCGTGGTTCTCGTGCAATGACTCCTATGTACATTGCTATTGATACTGAGAATGGAAGTTTATTTATACTTACTGAATTTTCAAATACCATTCTGAGTAGATGAATATTGACGTTTCCTAGATATAATACTTTTTTTTTTCTGATATTGTATACAATATCAGAAAAAAAAACCATGAAATCATTTATCTTTCTGAAGCAAGTCTACAATATAACATCAATTAAATATCATGAAAATCATCGTATTATTTTGTAGATATGTTCTGGGTTGAAATGGTATTATTGCTACTGATGACATTCATGCATACATAACATATTTAGTATTTTTTCTGCTACACTTCTTTCAAAGAGTGATAATTCTAAAGAATATCTTCGTCTATTCTGAACCATTACTATAATCTCTTATCAGTAAATATTCCTGATACATACTAAACATCTGTAAAATTATAATGAAATAGTTAGTTATTTCTTAACTATGTTCATAATTTTGCTTGCATTCCACAGAAACTTTCCTTCCTATTTCTGATACCTATCTATGACATCAACGAATGCCTTTTCAGCGCAACATTTCGTTTTTCATATGAATACGAATATTTTTGAAAATAAATTGATTCATCAACTCAAATGATTTAAGTCATATTTGAACCGTAAGTATGAATTGTATATTTATATCAAAAACTAGATCAAACTGACAATATTTTCTAATTTTTAAAAAATTATACATATATATGTATTTGAAAAGTGACTTGTTCACTTGAAATGTTTTGAAGCACATTTTAAACACAATTCTTTTTCTAATGTGTATAAAGAGAAATAGATTTTAAACTATAAAGAAAATTAGTTAATATGAAACGTGTCTAGATGTAATACTGTTACATAAGATCAGTTTGTAGGTTTTATTAATAAGCTCTATTCAACAAAAGATCCATCAAGCAAGATATATTTTTAGAACAAAAACGTATTTCTTTAATCTCTTTGTGCGTTCGGCATTTGTCTTAGCAGATCTAAAGAGTGATATGCATGTGTCTTCACATAAATTCTAATTAAAAAACTAAAATATACGAAATAATCTTACTTTTCTACCATAGATCTGCCACACAAAACATATTTTATTGCAAATCTTATATAACTAAAAGATTAATTAAACAACTTCGTTCCCTATAAAATTTTTACACACAAAGAAAAATGTCAAATTAGAAAGAAGATGATTCTTTATTATATGGTTCTGTTTTTCCCCATAATGGTTTTTGTATGTTCTGATCCTTAGTAAATGATTGTTTTATATGTGTTAAAACTTCGTTGACTAGATGATAATGGAATTCATTATTTGTGTAGAGTAATGCTGAGTATTTAACTAAATTGAGAACAAGTCCAATAAGTTGACTGAATCGAATTACTGCATTATAATGATCATATTTATAGATCAAATATTTCCACAGGAGTTCGACATATACATTCTGACTGCCGAATAAATGAAATGTACCATTTAGTAAACTGTCAGCTTGTGGTTTTTCCTTTTTGAGAACAATAAAACAATTTGATGAAAATGCAAGAACAATCAGCATAAGTTTAATAACAGTTAAATCAGGATCTAATTGTTGGTTAGCATGCTTTACTTGAAGCATCATTTCTGATCCATAGACTATGACAAATGTTTCTAGACACTTAGGAGTATCAATAATGCCAGTAGTATGAAAGTAGAGGGCTGAGCTAAGAGCAACCATGCCATGTAAATTGCGTTCGAAAAGAGAACATTGTTCATTTGTAGTTAATATTCGAAAATCAGGTGAAGAACTAATGAATGATTCCATAGATGTATACATAAGAATGAGGATTTCAAATACATTAGATACATTATACGATACATTACATGAAAATGATACAGTTAAATTTTCAATTGTGCGACGTATTTGTGGTATAGCACTGAAAGCATCGTGAGCATGAATGATATTTGAGAGTAATGTTCTTTCATATTTATTAAGAGATGATAGATCATTATGCGATTGGTCTAATATGGAAACCTGTAATGTAGGCTAAATACAAAAAAAAAAACGTTTTCTTTCTATTCATTATTAGCATTAATATTTGTACTCAAATTGAATTATGAATCTTAACTAAATTTTTCGAAATAAAAATGGAATGGCAATTCCAATGTATTTTACAGACTATTTTCATAATTGAATTCATATTTGAGTAATACTGATTTTCATTTCTAAAATATCAAAATCAGATTTTAATGTTTTGATGAAATTCTATGTTTTTAAGTTGAAGCTTCTGTTGCTATAATTACGCATTAAAATTTCACTTCATCGGAAGTCATATGTGGACATTATATATATGTCAAGGTTAAACTCTAACAATGTTCAAGAACCTAGAAATAGCAATTTCTAAGTTGTGGAGGAATTCTCAATAGAGCTATGATAATTTCTTCAGAAAAAAAGACTTGATTGTTAGCTTCCTTACACGTCCGCGATTTATAAAAGCCAAAATAATGCTTTTATCTGCAATAGTTTTCATATCCACACATTCATGTTAACAAATTCCTTAATGCATATGAATGTTCGAGCAAAAAATACCGTGAATATTATATTTTCTTTTATTCTGTCAATTATGAAACTGCGGGGACCGAGAAAAAAATCTTATTTCTCAGTCTTTAGATACGTCTCAAATACTAAAATTTGTTATATACTATCGAATTATTTATTGAAATAGAGACAAACGAATCGGTTAGATAAGTCAAGAGAAAAAATATTTAACACAATTTCTGATTCATTTAATAAGATATTCTACATACCATTACACGTTTATGTACGGCATCATGATGACTATAAGCATCTGTCGGTAAAACACATTTTTTACGTTGTTGAATTTCTTTACGAATTAAATCTGGACTCATGCCAGCCGATAAACATTTCGCAAAACGACAAGCAGTACAATTTCGTCGTGTATTGATATTTACTTCACATGATTTGTTGAAAAAGCATGGTCGAACATGCTACAAAAAGAAATTGATCAATAAAAAAAAATTTGAATTAAGAATCATCCAAACTACAAACTTCTGGATGAAAACCATTACGACGAAAGAATGTTTTACATGATTGACATGAAAGTGCCCCATAATTCATAATATTAGCTTTGTCACCACACACTTGACAAAAGCTCAATTTGGATGAGTCTTTTATTCGCCTGAAAGCTTTATCAGAGTTGTCGCAGTGTGATACAGGTGATGCAGATAAGGACCGTCTGAATGACATTGAGCTACGATTTCACAATGAGCCACACGAAAAAAAGGACGTTGATAATTCTTGACATACCGAAATAGAAAAAATTAATAGTTAAACTTTATTTTATGTATAGATTGAAAAAAAGTTTCACTACTAAATCTAGTTTGTTATTGAAGTGATTTCATTTGTAATACTAATCAGAAAGATGCTAAAAGAAAAGATATATCAAGTTTAAGAAAACAGTCTCATAAACGATATACAACTGCAATATCTATCATTACTACGCTGCCGTCATTTTTTATAATTTCTTAAGATGATGGAAATAAGAATGATGGCTGCTTGCTAAAGAAAAAATGACTCGTACAAATGGGGTGAAAGAGTACAATATAAAATAAAAAAAACTTGATGCAGTGATAAGCCATTATATGGTTATTTCAGGTCGTTTAAGACGCTGTTTCTAACGGTTGAAATAACTGTTATGAGCTTCTTTTTCGTCAGGCATTGATTTAAAAATTTGCCATTTGATAAAGACAAGAGGAGACGCTATAAACATATAAATGACAGATACTAATATTATAGCAGCGTATTTGCTCAGTCAAGCGAAAGAAAAATGTGTTGCCTTTATTTTTGATAAAAAAAAAAGTAATAAAGAGACAGCTTATATGAAAGTAACTAAGTTATGTTGAATATTATTAAAGGGATTTATTTTATTTGATATCTATTTCTTAATTAACAACGATTAAATTTTCATCTTATTATTATTAAATATTTTTAAAATGTAAGAAATATTTCCTTCTCTTCTCAACATTTTCTTTTCTTAGTATAGAAAACCAATTTACCTTGTAGATGATGATGATACGACCAAGAACAGTGAATCTTAAAGAAGAAAAGTATTTTTAGTGATGATGTCGAATAATAAAATAATATTACAGACTATTTGAGAAAATCAGTGTCGAAATATTCCTCATGATAAACATAAATCAAGAAGTGATTTTATTTTTTGGTTTTCCTTCGGGTCGACTACATAGGTTATCCGAAGTTTTTGAAGAGACCATTATACTTTTAACAAGATATTACTGTGAAAAGATATGCTCCTTTTATAAAGGAAATTGTCGTTCAAATGGCAGCTAAATCAGTTCTTCGTTTTTTTTTCATTTCTTCAGAAGACATGAAATTAACTTACGTTTTTCAATGCAACGGTTTCCAAATGGGCCGTACTGAAGTTAAACTGCTCGATAGAAAATAGTATTTCACTTTCTTCGCCTATAACTTATTCTTTCTCTGTCAGTAAGTGCACTTTGCTATTTCATTCTTTTTTTGTACTCGTATCTCAAGTATTTTTCTTTTTTTCTTTCTGCCTTGGATGTCGGTAAGTAGATGCTAAAGAAACATTTTTTCTTTCCTGTGTTTCTGATTCGTAGTTTCATGTAAATACAAACATAAGATAGTGCCTATTAATAAATAGAAGAAAATTTTATTTTACTAAAAGCCTATCGGAAAACAATACAACTTTTTTCTAAATAAGCGTAGCTTGTCAATTAAATATTTAGACTAATTTTTGTTTGTGTTCGTTACAAATGTATGTAGAACTATGTAAGAATGTCACTTTAACCTTGAACAGTATTAAAAAAAAACTCTGTAAAAGATAAATTTCGGTTATAACTCATAAAATCGAGTTTCAAATATAGAATGTAACAACTTAAATTGTATATGTAATTATATATAATTTCCTTACGTGAATATCTATTTAAAAAGTATACTTAATGACCTATTTTTAATATTTTGTATGCAACGCACTTGCACTAGTAAAAAAGAAACTGCTTGTTCTCAGATATAGTCTATTACGTATTTCTGTAATAATCGTCTATTGCGAAATATTTTAATTTAAGCAACAAATATATATATAGATATATATAAAGATTTCGATATTATTTATTTAAAATAAATATATTCAACAAATAAGATATTTTCTGGTCGATGAGATGTTTTATTACTATAGAAAAATGTTTTTTTAAACAGTTCTAAAATAATGATATCAAATAAAAACATTGAAAGTTGGTTTAATAAAAAAAAAACCTTCGCATTACTTTTGACAATTTCTTATAAGCAAATATAGAATAAATTCTAGAATCACTTAGTGTATGTAATGTACTTTTCTATAAATTATTATTGAAACAGATTCATCATACTATTACAATACTTTAGCATACAACATTAATCTCCTATTGTATATTTTATTGTTGTTTCATAAAACAAAACATTTAAACAATGTTCATTGCCTATATATCTGCAGATATTCATATGATTACTGAAAAAATACTATAGAAATTTCTTTCACTGTTTTTTGTTCTCTAAATTACATGAAAAACAAAAATTTAACTAGATTTTCACAGAAATTGAAATATTTAATAGTTAAACAAATTATTGAAAATAGTCTGCTACATCCGGAATGATTTATTTTTAGTATATGTTTCTTAAACGAATATTGTACTGCAATGATTAGAATGGTTTCTTCGTAGCATGTGCTTACAGTAAAAATTCACTCGATAATGTAAACAATGTCAATGGGGACAACAACTTTAGAATACTGACTAAATCACACGATGGATAGCTGTTACTAAGAGACTATTTCTAAGATGCTTGCATGACTCGCTGAAAAGAAGATAATATTCAAATATTTATCAAGGTCAAAACAATTTGCGCTACCTTTTGATATGCTTTCATTGATTAAAAAATGAGTCTTTTGACACGTAACGTGGGATTCAACGCATCTGTAGAAAAAGAAAAGAATCTTTATGGTTTCCAGAATATTTTCAATGCTTTTAGTCTCTGAAATTTTTATTTTCTTTCTCTTTTATAAACATTTTTTGTTGTTGTTAACGTGAACTTCTCGTACTATAATCATATGCTTCTTTCTTAATCAGACTAAGTTTTCTGAAAGTGCATTGAAACGCTTGAATCGAGGTTTCCATTTGAGCATTTTTATACCGATTCAGAAAACACCAAAACTAAACATTTTCATCATAAAAGTATGTGTAGACGCTTAGAAAGACATACTTAGCATCTGAAGAACGTGCAACAATCTTTTTTTAACAGTATAGTGACATACTTTTCAGATAAGCATGACATTAATGCGAGATGTATTCCAAAAATAATACGAACTTTCCAGATAAAAAAAAGTTGCTTTTTTAAGGCTTCTTTGTGAAAATTTTATAGAGAAGATCGGTGATTTTGGTGCTTTCGGAATAAACGTGAAAACATTCAAACGGTGATCGACATAGTCAGAAGATTCAACATAGTACAATAAAAGCACAATAAGATTGTTATCAATAACAGTAAAACATGTTCACAGTGAACTACATCTATCCCTTCTGTGCTATATAACTAGCTTTTTGTTTGCATAAAATTTATATTGAATAAAATTGATTTGCTTATTATGCCTTTCAAATTCATAGATCTATCAAGTGAAGTCAAATTTTGAGAAAGAAAATTCAAATAGACTTTGTTTATTGTCACGTTGGAAGTCTTTCACTCATCTAAAGTCAATCTAACCAAGATTATCATAAGAAAAGTCATTATCAAATTTTTAAAATCTAAAAAAAGGAACTTATAATATGTGTTTTATGATTGTGGAGTATTTTTACGAATGAAATTATTCTAGAGGTTGATGATTATGTTTCAATTTGACTTAACTAACAATGGAGGTGTGTGAACTATTGAGCGAAATGATTGACTATATTCGGGTCAAAAGAAAGCTTTCAGTGAGAAACTAACAAATTTAAAATATGAGCTGCGTATGGCTTACCTGGAAAGAAATATTCAATTTTTAAGTTATGCATTGTTAGGGTATACAAGCATGATAATATATGAATTAGTTACGTTAATAGTTTAATATAATTATCAGATTGTTAAGAAGTGAGTTTCTAAAATCTAGGCAAGATTTATTGACAATATTGAGACCTCTCTAAATACAACTTTCTCTGAAGTCTGATGGTACCAAATAGGAAATATATTGATTGTTTTATATAGAAATTGTCGATTCATCGATAATCTCGACTTTATTTACATGAAATTAATAACCTATACAAAATAATATTTCAAAAGATGTACTATAGATGGAGATGAAGGTCTTCAATCAAATGATAATAGCAAAGGTGTCTTTCGCACCAAGCACAAACGAGAAGAGTTCGTTCCTCACAACTAGCAACTGAACAATAAAGATCATAGAATTTAAAGCAAACGTCCTTTGGTTTCTTTATTTCATCAATTGTTTCATTGAGTATCTTAGCTTGTACGAATCCAGACTTGATAAGATTTTTAAATTGTGTAGCAGATAGTTGATTGTGGATGATGCAGTGCATATTTATGAAATATTGACGATCGTTCAAGTTCATTTCCGTTCGATTGATATGAACATAATGCTCAATTTTTTCATGAATAAATTGCCAGCTTGCGGCTGAATATAACCAGTTGATCCTTTAGGAAAAAATCAGTAACTGACTGTCTTGATGTGGAAATACTGCTCTAAATATTTTTAGATCAGCTTGAGTTGTCCAACAATCAAGGAAAAGAAGGAATCTTTTGCCAACCAAAGGACGTAAGACTTCATTTAAAAAAGTGCGATGTTTTTCGTCGCTGCTTTTTCCAGATTTTGAAGCCCGTACTACGATATTTGATGGAACATTTAAATCCTTCTCTACTCTTCTACTGAATTCATTTTCCTTTTCTTGAAGAATAAGGAAAAACTTATCTAATAATTGACCATCAGCTGATGTAATAGGCTGGACGGTATAAAAGTGCGTTATATTCTTCTTCTTTTTAACAGAAACTTCTGTTGTTCGTTCACCCTTGAAAGAAAGAGTACGTGGAGAAATATATTCCTGTTGAAATGAACAATGGTCACTGTTTAATATTTCATGAGAAGAATAATTTGAAATTAAGAGATCTTTGATTTTCGATCCAGTCGTGAGCATCTGAAATATACATATATATCGTATTAAGACAAATAGATTGAAGTCTCAAGTGAAGCT